GCAATATTTAGAGTTTCTTCTGATATCCATTGGTCTTTTCTTCCTCCTCCATCTTTGTTATGACCTTTTGCATTCTTCCTGGATGATATTATTGATATCTTCCTCTTCCCACAGCTCATCCGGTCTTTGCTTGTTAATGTCCAAGGCCTCAAATCTGTTCCTGAGGTGGTTTTGAAATTCACATGGGATAGACTCAATGTCAAATTTTGGTTCCTATGTACTTGATATGGACTGAGGCTCAATGTCAAGAAGACAAAGATTCTCACCACTGGACCAATTGGCAGCGTCAGGATGGATGGTGAAGAGATTGAGATTGTTCACAGCTTCAGTTTGCTCGGCTCCACAGTCAACACTCTTGGCACCAGCAGTCAGGAAATCAAAAAGCGTATCGCGATGGGAAAGTCTGCTGTTAGGGACCTCTCTAAAGTACTCAGGAGCAACGGTGTCTCTCTGGAGACTAAGGTGCGCCTGATACAGGGCCATGGTCTTTGCAATCGCCTGTTATGCATCAGAGAGTTGCACAATGACTAGGGAGGACAGAAGGAGAATTGATGCCTTTGAGCTGTGGTGCTGGAGAAGAGTACTGAATGTACCATGGACTGCCAGGAAAACAAACAGATTCATCTTGGAGAGGATTAAACCAAGCTACTCCTTGGAGGCAAGGATTCTGGGGCTTTGTCTGACATACTTTGGGCATGTTGCCAGGAGGGACGGGTCCTTGGAGAGGGACGTCATGCTTGGGAGGGTGGAGGGACAGCGCAGGAGGGGAAGACCCTCTATGAGATGGATTGATTCGGTGACTGGGGTAATCGGGATGGGTGTGTCAGAGGCAGTGAGGTTGGCGCAGGATAGAGCAGGATTTAGGGCTGTTGTGCATAGAGTCGCTATGAGTCGCAAAGGACTTGATGGCACATAACAACAACAATCAGCTTGAACTTGCATATGAGTAGTTGGTGGTCTGTTCCACAGTCAGCATCTGGCCTAGTTTTCATAGCTGATATTGAGCTTCTACAGTAATTCTTTCCACAGATACAATCAAACTGATTCCCATGCATACCAGCAGGTGAAATCCATGTGTATAGCATGCCTTTATGTTTCTTATAGAATGTATTTGCAATGAATCAGTCATTGATTGTATAAAATTCTATCATTCTATCTCCAGCTTCATTTCTGTCGCCAAATCCACATTTCCCAACTGCTGACCCTTCTTCTCTATTCCCAATTTTTGCATTACAGTCGCCTATTATAATTATTGCATCTTGATTGCATGTTCAATCAATCTCTGGCTGCAAAAGTTGGTAGAAATCTTCTATTTCCTCCTCTTTGGCTCCGACTTTTGGGGCATATATTTGAATGATGGTGGTATTCACTGGATTTCCTTGTATGTGTATGGATATTATCCTGTCACTCAAAACACTGTATTTCAAGATGGATCTAGAAATGACTTTTTAACTACGAAATAAACCCCATTTTCCCTCACCTTTTTGTCTCCGGCATAGTAGATCATATGATCCTCTGACTCAAAATATCCCATGCAAAGCCAATTTTATGGTTTGCATTTGTGTATCTTCGTAGGGTAAGAGAACATAAAGTTCCACGTGTCTCAAACAAAGCTATCTGTCCTGGGGGGTGATTTCATTCTTCTTGTTGGGGTTAATTTTGTTTTGCTTTGTTTAGGGGAAAATATTCAAACTAAAAAAAAAGACAATCCACCCTGAAACAGACTTAAACTATAAGAATAACTCTAAGCTGTTAAATGAATTTAAATGGATCTTATTTAAGAACACAAGTAGAGGACTTATGATAATTTCTTGGAAAATGGGGCTTTCTGTCCCCCCTTTAAAACTTTTAAAAACTGTAACATTTTTAGGACCAGAGTTGCCATTTTTAGGACCAGAGCTGCATAATTAGATCGAGAACATTCTTTCTTTTATTATTAATTGATGTTTTGATGGTGGATTGGGTTTGTGTTTTTTTGTGTTTTTTTTTTTTTTAACATTCAGGACAGAGCATAAGTGACTTCTATATATAGAACACCAGATATAACTGGTTCCAAAATCATCCCTCCTCACACATTTTGTACAACGCCATCTGATCTGAAAGTGTTTTTATACTTCTGCTAATGGCTTTTCAACATTCTTTGATATCAGAGAGAAGCTGATATTAATAATTTTTAAATTTTGAAGACTTTAATAAACTGAGGGTTTTTTAAAGATTTTTGTTATTATTTTAAACAATGTAAATTTTCCCCCAGAGGTTTAGTTTGCTTGTTTGTTTTTGATGTGTAATCCTGCAGAAGGTATAATACTTTAATTTCAAATTTATCCAAGAGTAGTGCTATTCTTTTCCTTTTTAAACAATGCCATAGGTGCAAGCTGTGCTTAATATTAAACCTCATCCATGAAACACATTTGTTTTAGATCCTGACACCCTTTTTGGATAACCTAGACCATGAAAACAAAAAATACCTGAGGGAGCTAGTGGAATGTAAACCCCTGAGGGGGAGCCGTGCTTGTTTCATCTCTGCTGTTGTCCCTCTGTCCAGACAGAGACACAATGTACATATCTTCACATGAATTATTGTACGAGACACAATACATATCTTCACATGAATTATTGTTGTTATGTGTCATTGAGTTGCCTGCTACTCATAGTGACCCTATGTACGTTAGCTCTGAACCTTGCCCTATCCTGAGCCAACCGCATCGTCTCCCACAGACCTAATTCCATTTCTCCAGTTACTGAGTCAGTTCATCCCATCCTGGCTCTTTCTCTCCTGCGTTGTCCCTCCACCCTTCCCCATTCCCCATGAATTAGCACACTTAAAATTATTTTATTTATTAAACTTTTTACATTAAAAAGAATACACTTATTTTAAGAAAAATAAGAAAGGAAAGAAATAATTTGACTGCTTAAAGGTCATCATTATTAACTTTGTGGCCGATTCCTTCAGATAAGTTTTCCATAAATTCACTTATACTGTATAGTTTCTAATCTATATGCTCTTTTTTTTTATTTTCCAGAAAATGTATTCAAATATATTTCATGCCATCAGGTAATTTTGACATAGTTATTGATTGCTGGGAATCACATTAGGCCACAGGGAGAATTTCGAGAGTCGTTTTGGTTCACTTTGCTCAGGACAAGGCTAGAAATGTGACATGACTAGATATGTTGGTAATGTCATAGGTCGTGTGACTAGAGAGTACTGCTGGTACAATAAGGAAGAACTACATGTGAGATTAGACTTGAGTGGTCAGAAAGGAAAAGGGAAACAAAGTTGTTATACAGAATTTATAAAATGTACATTCTATGTCTTGGTGGGATTGCTCTGATCCTGTATTTGGAGATAGTACATAGTTAACGCAGCAGAAGCACATTGCGTTTGGAAACGCAGAGGGTCAATGGGGAGAAGATGAACCTCGGTGTGGACGATTGACCCAGTGAGTGCAACATGGGCTCACCCACAACAGCTGTTGTATGAATGGTGCAGGATGGCACAACGCTGTGTTCTGGGGTGCACAGGGCCACAGGGGTGGACCTGACTGTACCCCACAGCAACCAGCACACTTCTCAGTGATTGACTGTGTTTGTAAGGCATAAAATGTCAATCAGTTTCTTAAGAGAAAATCAGTCTGAAGGGAAATGGGAAATGAGGTACAATTGATATAATTTTTGTTACCTAAATATTATTTCCATGAGGAATTGTTCAATTTCCTCAAGCAGATATGCATATGTGTTTCGCAAAAATAGAAATGCAATAGTCTGATAAACACTGTTGGTTTTTTTAGAAGATTAATTTAGCAACTGACTCGTTGTTGCAAAACAGAAGTATAATTTGTAGAACAAATACATTTTGAATTTTGCAAACTCTTGATGTTCTTAATGTACCTCATTTATTAGCATTTGTATCGAGAGTCGTATCAAGTAATATGTCCCCTACGGCAAACCATTAAAAAATGAGACTCACTGGAAACTTCATGTGAGATAAGTATTCATATTTTCAGTGTTTGGGGACATTTGCTTTGTATTACATTAAATTATTATCTTTGCTGGGATTTTGTTAAATGTTTGCTAGGTTGTATCCATGTATAGACCAAACATGTTAAAAGTTATATAAATACCATTGTTTAAAAATATGGGCCATAACTCTGTGTGTACGTGTTCTACAGTTACATAGCAACTTGGCTGAGTTCATTGCGGTTTGGTTTATTCTTGTTCCTTCCCTTTTGTACAGCGTTGGGACTGGAGCCCACACTGGTTGTTTATGCATCCTTGGTTTTGTATCACAGCAAATCGCACCATTGCTGGACCAGTAGATGGTTCTCTCAAAATGGATCAGAGACCCGCTGTCTTTGAATCGAACCCATCCTTCCCCACTAACCAATCATATTGGATCCAGCTAGACATTGTGGAAAGGTAGCAGGTGCTAGGCCATCCCCACCTCTTGCCTTATTAGAAAGAAATAGCAGACTCCCAAGAGAGGAGGAGTTTCAGCTGCATGGGAGGGGTTCACAGGAGGCAGATGTTAACAAAGGTGTGAGGAGGAAAGGGCTTCCTGGCTTAACCAGGCTTGTGGAGGGGTGTTGCTTCATGGCGCTGTGTAAGCTTTCTTTCTGGCTGGCTTGTTCTCACACACTCGAGCCACTATCCAGTCCACTCCGTGGCCTGATGGTTCTCTTCATGTCGTCGGCGCTCGCTCTCCCTTGTGTCTCTTCTCTTTATTATGTGTCTTTTCTTTGGCCAGTTTGTCTTTAGATGTAGAGGCCAGCTCTGGGACTTTGATTCTATCTCTGAGTGACCAGCACGGTGCCTGCCCACAGTGTCTGCTTTCAGGTAAGGAAGAAGTGAGAATCGGAGAGAAGCGGGGTCGAGGTCCTCCACGGTGGCTGCAATACAGGGCAGTTGTGAAGACAGCACAGGATCGGGCACTGGTTCATTTTGTCGCTTACCATCAGGTCACTAGGAGGCAGAGCTGATCTGGCAGCTCCGAACAGCCCTTATGACCCCACAACAATCCTTCGGCTGATGGCTCCAGGCAAGGTGTAGACGAAGAGGACCAGGAAGATGATGAGCATGATCAGAATGAAGCCGGTGATGATGTACTTTTTGTAATTCCTCCAGATGAGGTAGTACAGGCACTTGAAGGGGCTCATGAACCAGGAGAAGGAGGTGTCTGGACGACTGAGGGGAAGTGAGAGAAAAACTCGTCAGGAAAGTGAACCTTTGGGGAGTATGTTCTACTTTCCCATACTCTGTGGGGTCCACAGGAGAGGTCTGCAGATGGCAGGAGGCCACCTTGCCTGGAGCAGAACTAAATCTTGCATTTGGGACAACAGTGACCCTCTTCATCCTTCTCAGGGCAGCTCTGGAGGAGGGGGAGAGCCCAGTTAGAACCCAGCCAGAGCCCTGACCTCTGGCCATGGGTAACCACCCGTGAGCACCCAGTTGACAACAAGCCCCTCCCTTTGCATTCCTGTCTCGCCTAGCGCTTGACTCACTAGCTCTCAGAACCTAACAGACTCATCTTCTAGATTCTGACAACGATTCAATGACCCCTGCGCTCTTTTGCTCTAAGCAGATCAAATGCTCCTGGAAGGTAGATTTTATATCTTGCACATTTCTGGAGACTAAGGTGCGCCTGATACAGGCCATGGTCTTTGCAATCACTTGTTATACATCAGAGAGTTGCACAATGACTAGGGAGGACAGAAGGAGAATTGATGCCTTTGAGCTGTGGTGCTGGA